ATAAGGTAATGTGTCCAAATGCCAGGATGGGGGTTTGAAAAGCCCTTTTGCGCGGATTTCCATCAGTCATCGAGGTGTCCATATTTATGGTGGACGCAACCCGGAATCCCATAAATGTTTTACATAAGGGCGCGAAGAAACCCTCTACCATGAAATATATTACTCAGGCCCGATAGCGTGTCGTGCAAGTGTCGGAAGGTCTTCAAACTCGCTCCCACACTATAAAGACAAAATGTTCCTGGTTTTCGAAGCAGTAGGAGCGAACCATGTACCAACGAACCCCTCAGGAAGATCATACTTTCACAGTCTGAAGCCTCTATCAGCTCGTTTTTCTCGAAAGCCTAACGTTGCTCAAGACTCGGGTGTTGATCCGCCGTAGACCTCCTACTTCTTGCGTTTCTGAGGGAATACTAGGAAAATAAGGTGGTTTCTATTTATATCCCGGAACCCCAGGAAAGGGTGGAACTTGGGAGCTTAAAAACCCTCACATATCGAGCCACTCTAGGCTTTCGATAGAGACGATCTGATAATAGTATCAGACCTTCTATGAGTGCCCCTTACAAGTTCATCGATACTCGAAAAGCTTGAAAATTTTCATCAAGGTCCAATGTCATTGATAAGTGGATTAATTATGAGCAGCGTCCCGGTAGTAAATGACTATCTAGCTTTTTTTATCGACTCGACCCCAAATTGGGACACATTTTACAGCTAAATATGAGCAACTTCCCGGAATTCAAAGAAACGCCCGATCTCCAACGTGTAAAAATAATACAAACCTGAACATTGTTCATTACCCGATACAGAGGTTAGAAACAGCACATAAGTTAACATCTAGAACCGGCCACAATTACACTGCCATACATATCCATTGCATTCTAAGGAAAGATGGCCTTCATAATCTTGGGGAAGGCATTTTAGAGGCGGTGCGGTTCGCTTGGGAGGGGCGTTTGCACTTCGCTAGTTTCTTTTGCTGTTTCCCGTTGAGTTACACGTCTCAAACGAAGCTCTTCCTATTGCACAGCTTCACAAGAATTTACAGGTTTCCTCGGACCATTGATAGCAGGCATCGGTAGTGATTGATGGGAACCAGCAAAATGTCCCCACCGAGCCAATTAGAGAGGGTGTGGACGGGGGATGGGCATTATGTCATTATTGGGGTAAACGGCATATTCATGAGAATGCTGCCATTTCTCAGCCTTCCAGAAGTGATCAGGACTTTACGAAATTGCCCCGTATGTTGAAAAGAGTTTACAAAATGCCCCAGCTCTAGCGGATTTGCGCCTACCTCCATAAAGCAGCAAGATGGGCTTCAATCCAAGCTTTCGAATGAATGTAACAATGTGAGAGATCACTAGTCATAATAAGAACTACATGTACCATTGCTTGCCTCTGGTTCTAGCTCCGCTTTTCTTCTCAACAATTCGATTTCTAGATTGAGTTTCTCGATTTCCAGCCGTCGTACTTCAACGGCCATAGCGGCCTCCTCTTGACGTATCCTTGCCAGTTTTGCTTCTTCATCTAATAGTTGCGACAAACTATCCGAGAAACAGCTGAGCACCTCTCTAGCCAGACTAAATGCATCATCGCACTCAACAAATCCATGAATAATTTCAGACAATGAGGTAACAAACTTACGATGTTGTCGATGAACTGGCCTTCGGTCCAGCAGAGGTGCTCGCCGTCTCAGAACCAAAATCCGAATGACGTGTATCTTTTTGCGTCATCAGTGATTTTTCTGTTGCTTTTGGATTTCCAGAGCTCTGCAACAGGAGCTCTTCCAGCGTGGGCTTCCTGAAGGAGAGAGTTAATGACCGAATGCATTTCTTTTCCCTTGAATCAACACTAATATGCTGAGTATTTAGCGCAATACATTTCGGTTTCGAAAAGATGACCATCTGAGTACTCTTCATCCGAAGAATTCATTTCCTCGTGGAAAATCTCTTGCACTTCGTTGCTCATGTCCTCTGAAACAAATACACATGAAAAGTCCTCAAAAGAAATAAAA